AAATGTGATTAAGAGTTTCTAAACTCCACAGAGCATACATCAACCCACTGACTTTTACTCGGCGAACTCATGCAGATTGGCTTCTCATTCTGAGGGGAAGCAAGCATGAAGGCCCAGCAGTACTAAGGTAATAGAGGGGAGATGGATGAAGGAGTAAAGTAAAGGATGAAGGGATGGAGGAATGAGGAGCAGAGGATTAGAGCCAAGCAGCCTTTCAGAGCACCGCCTGGGGCCCGGCGTGGATTAGATAGGAGAGAGCAAAAAGATTCGCCTTCTGCATGGTCCATTTGCATGAGTGTGCCAGTGTTTTTTTAATTTATTTATTTTTGTGTGTGTGTGTGTTTGTTCGCTTTTAATGGGTGAAAGTGTGTTTCTTTTCAGTCCTGCAACAAACCAACGTTCGCCATACTGAATAATGAATAGCTGTACATTCTGCAAGTCAATCAAACTTTATGTGTTGCTTTGTTATTTTGTGCTTAGTTGGGAAAGATTACGAGTTGAGTTCATTGCCTAAGAAACAAATATATAAACAAAGTTTTCATTCATACGGAAAAAGGAAGCATAGAAGCAGATAGTCCTAAAAAATTAGGATATCCCATGAAATATTTAGATTTTTCTGAGGAAATGCTTTAATATCCAATTCAATTTTCTTTTCTTTTATATTTCTAACATGTAGAGTAGAATTGTTTACTTGTAGCAAGAAGGTCCTGGATTCGACTCCTAGCCTTGGGTCTTTCTGCTTGTTCTCCCTGTGCATGCATAGGTTCTCTCTGGGTAGTCCAGTTTTCTCACACAGTCCAAAAGCGTGATTGTTAGGACAATTTCTCTCTGTGAAAGATGTGAGTGTGTGCTCATGGTTGTCTTTGCTGTGTCTTTCTGTTGCCCTGTGATGCATTGGCAACCTGTCCAAGGTTTACCCCATCTCTTGCCTAACGACAGCTAGAGAGAGGAACCAGCCCATGATATTGAATGGTTAAAAAATGGATAGATGGATATTTTGTGAAAATAATGTGATTTAACTTCAGGTACCCTTTACAGGCTAAGCTTTTTTATTCATTAAACAAAAAGATTACAAAAATAAACTTGAATGCAAGAAAAGGTAGAACTCCAGTGACTAGTAGCTTCACTTTGGATAAGATAACTTGGCTGAAATGACTTAAGTAAGTCACTTCTCCAGATCTACTAGTCTCTGAGGAAAGTTTAAGGGATTTCTTGTAGGTATGTATCAAAAACAACAACAGCAGGGCTTTGACTTTGCCAGTTTGTACTTTTCCATCTCTTAGTCTTCAGGCAGTCCTTGGTGGTTTGGCTGGAACCTCTTGGGTGACTATCATGTTATAGAGCCCGGTTCTGTTTCATCTCATCTATTTTACAGATGACATCACATTTTCATCAAGCACCCCCAGAGTTCATGGTGGATTCTGGGATGGCAGGGTGGCAAAGTGCTGAAACAAACTATCCCCAAAGCTATGACGCTTCCATTGCTATGACTCGAAGTAAGTAAGTTCTTTATCTTCAGGTTTCCAAACAAGTAAATGTCTGTAGAAATAAATTTGTTCCACAAGTCTTGGCATCCATTTCCTTCAGTTGAAAGTTTCTATTTTTGTTGGAGAGCAAACATTTCCTGCTTACTCACCTCCCATAGAAGTTGCACTATTACAGGTTTCTTCTGGGTACTGTTTTTCTAGTGCAAAGGACAAGACCACTCTAAATTTGCTGCTCTCTTCAAGCCCCAAACACCTCCTTCCAAACTAAAACTCAGCACCGTCGCGATTATCCAAAATGAGTTCAGCCTCCGATGCAGAGTGCAGGACCAGCTGGTCCACCAGGATTTATGCCTCTCACTTCCACAGCCCGGTCACGTCTATCTGGAGTCACTTCACCATATGGAGGTGATGGACCCACTAATTACTACAGTGCTGTCCTATTAACACAGAAGAATGCTATTTGGCAACCGTGCATCATTTAAGGCGCACTTCAACACAACCTGACATGTTTTATGACGGCCTCCATATGCAGTAATTGATGGGGAGGATTTATTTACATTCACAGACAAGGTGAGAAGTGGCTCTCAGATATAACGCAAATATGAGCTAATACCAGCACCATTTAGCTCGTACATACAATAGTTTTGCTTTTATCATAATTTAGTGATCCTGTTTGTTTTCAAGATGTCCAGTGATGATCATTTAAATTCTTGTTTTTGTTATGATGATAAAATAAAATCATGTAAATGGATATATGTATACAGTTCACCTGAAGAAACATACAAAAAAACTAATCTGTGATGTAAACATGTAAAAACAAGCAGTCCTAGTTGAATTTTTCTGACTTTTCCTCATATAATCCCCTATGCAATATTGTACAAATGTATCAGTCAGGAGAGGGGTACAAATAATTACACAGAATGAATTTATATAACATGCACAGCAGTGATATTACGAAAACTGTAAATTTGTACAGATTTCCTGAAAAGACAATATATAAACTGGTCAGGGAGGCGAATGGCAGCCCTGAAGGATGTGCAGGAGTTTCCAAAAATACTACTTGTATTTAACACGTGACAGCATTCCACTGTATGGTCAACATGTCTAAGCTAAGGAGTAAAAATGTGGGACAAAAGTATTTACTTCCAAGAAAACTTCCAGGCCTGGGAAAAAAAAAAATCCCCAAACCTTTTGGGAGAATAGGTTATCGGGCTGATGAAATACAACGTAACCTTTTAGCCACTATTCCAAAAACCTACACTGAGCATAATCACATCATGCACAGTGAAATGTAGCATCTTCATGTTCTGTGATTAACTTTCGTAAGATAAAATCCAAAAATGTATTTCAGTCCAAAGCCTTCAAGAGTCAGCTAGAATTCTTAAAGATCCAAATTCGCATAAGAATGAATTTTGACAAAAAATGATCAGGGATTATTTTCTGTTTATGTTTAATACAAGGCAACTTGGGGTAAAACGTGAGATCCCACACTGACTTGCTGGCTATGTGCAAGCCTTTCTACTTCACACCAAGAGCACAAAACTGTGATGTCAGAGTCCTTTCTCCATAGCCAACATGACAAGAGCTCCTTCAGGAAGGATTTAGATGCAACCACATAAAAAAGGGTTTAAATTACAAAGAAACAGTAACAAAAGTGACTCTACTGTACCAGAGCAGTTCTAAACCCAACCCCCTTCAAAAACACTACCTCCCAATTTCACAGTAAAACTTAGTCATATGTCTTATTTGCTGTGTATCCCTGAATGAAGTGTAGCAGAAATGGTCAATAAACCCTCATGATGCTGACAGTTTGAAAAAGTCATGCAACCGGCAGGGAAAATAAGAACTCTTGTCCACGTTAAATCACACCACATGCCAAAAAACGTCTATGAGCTCAACCCAACATTTCTTCTGCTGTTACTTCATTGATCCTCCCTCATCTGCATATACTGAGAATGACAAAAACCCACAGAGCTCTTTTTACTGCAGAAAAGTGAATGTGAAAAATAAAAATAAAAGCCTTACCTGCCAAAAGTCTGCCACAGTGGAAGCAAGTGGCCCCTGGGCGGCAATGTAAGTGGGATTGCGAGGGTCGTGATCCATCTGGGAGAGGAAGAGCAAAGGATGTGAGACAAAAAATCCAGTCTGATTTCATCAAAGCTTCAATATGGGTGAAGAAACACACAAACATCGACTGAAAGAAACCCACTTTTCCAGTCTTTCTTATAACTTATAACCGCAAACGTTACATACGGAGAAGAGGGCAACATATAGACACTGAACTTTCCCTGTGAGCACTTCCAAAGCTTATGATGCAACAGATCTTTTTGAAGTTTATGATTGGAAAAAAGCGGCAAATCTGGTGGCTAATCTGACTTTATACACCTGATTTTCAATGAGATTTTGCTTATTAGTATTTTCACATGCACACCCTCGCTCCAACACTTTGTAGAACGGCTTCAAAGCCAAGAAGTGGCTGAGATGAGGGAGACCCATGATGAAAATTAAGGAGTGGGATTTATTGTGAGAATGTAGTGAGGCTTCGTTCCCTACCTGCATATTAAATATGTATTTTTATATCCAAGCATCAAGAGAGGTTTCTCTGCACCTATTTAAGAAAAATAATTATCAGCAGAACAATAATTCTGTAAATATTTGTAGAATAACAAGGAGGTCTTATTAATACATGTTTAACTTATTGGATGAAGTTTGACAAAAAGTTTTTATGACAACTAAAAGTGAATTCTTTGACTTTTCAACCAACCAGTGAGACTAAACAGTCACTCAGTTACAACATTTAAAAAACTGTATTAACTTGAAGCGCAATCAGGGAACTGCTAAATCAAGATCCGCTACATAATTTTTGCTTTCTGCCTACTTTGACGTTGGCTCTCACCATCAAAAGCAAAACAATTTAGGAGTATTTTTTCCTCAGTCTCAGTGCACAGCTGTTCTCTCTATTATTCTGGGCAACTGGAATTCATTTTAAAGCTCTGAAATGCTGAAAATGCAAAAAAAAAAAAAAAAAAAAAAGGGAAAAATTATTTTTAAAGGATTTTAAGATGTGCAATTTAAGGTTCCATAAAATGGAATATTACTGGAGTAACCTCAGTTTTCTCTGGCACAATGTTGCCCCTCTCTCGCCTGTGACTCTGTACTGCTGGTCAGCTGGCTGAAAGAAAGTTACTAAAATTTACTGGAAAAACAATGTTGACCGTTTTTAAATTTTATTTAGTGAATTGCAAACAGCAAATCTGCCAAGTAGGTGACTGAAGACTAGCTACCACAGCCTGACAAGTTAAGCTACTAATATGAGCTTGTTGTTTATGGAAGGAAAAAGTAATAAAAAAAAAGGCTCTGCTCTGCAAAAAAAAAAAAATTGGTCTTAAATTACATACAAGCCATAACTATGTTGCTTAGTTTCCCCTTCGTCCTTCCTGATTAAAATTCCTCAAATACATTAGACACAAAAAAAAACCTAAAAAAAAAAAGTCCACAGAAATAAAACGGCGATGCCAAATGCTAGCCACTCGCTTCAGCCAATCTCAAGGATGCAGGCCCTGCTGTAGCTATTGCGCCTGCATCCTAACATGAATACTAAAGCAGAAACATGAAAGAGGAAAGAGCAGCCCTGCATTTCAGCTGTGGTTCCCTGTGCCGTTGTGGAATGAAGATAGACTGCAACAAAAGAGAAATGCAAAGAAGTGCTCCTTTGGCTTTGAGTGAAATTGCTTGGACAGAAAACGGCTCAAACGAAACATCTGCTCCAGGAGAAACATCTTAGCTTTCACACACCGTGCCTTGATCCTGCTTTTCTGTAAGATAGAGGGGTTGGACAGTAAATGGCTGCTAAGCTCAACCCAGAGTCCCAGACAAAAAAAAAAAAAAAAAAAAAAAAAAGGTGGGAAAGGCTGTAAGTTTTTTAAAAAAAAAAAACAGGGGGGTT